GGGTCATGATCTCGTGGTCTGTGAGTTCAAGCCCCACATAGGGCTCTGTGCTTACGGTTCAGAGCCTGGAGCCTGCTTCAGATTCTGTGTCTCCTTCTCTCTCTGCTACTCCCCTGCTCATGCTCTCTCTGTCTCTCAAAAATAAATAAACGTTAAAAAAATTTTTTTAAAGAAGTCAGATGATTAAAAAAAAAAAAAAAGTCAGACGCTTAACCTACTAAGCCACCCAGGTGCCCCAAAAATAACTTTTAAAAGACAGAATCCAGGATACAGGAAAGATCCAACCCAGGAGACCTAAAGAGGTTCCAGCTGTGCCCCAGACAAGGAGGATAAGCGGGTCAGACTGAAGTAGTGTAACTTGAGACAGACATGTCCCCGGTGCCAAACCAGCTGTTTAACCTGAGGACTGAACGCCCCGAAACCTGGCCCAGATTCCTATCTGTACCCAGCTGGGCTTGGTTTGATCTTGACCATACGGTGACACAGTTCCTGCTCGCCTTCAAAGCCCCGCAGCTGCACCAGCAGAGGCCATTCATGCCCCGGGGCAGAAAGGTTCTGCTTTGAGCCACGCTGTTAACTCTGGGCAAGCCACTGAGCTGAACAGCAGAAAATACAGAGCAGCCCATGCCCTCTGCCTGCACTTCTGCTGTCCTTTCAGACCCCGGAGATATTATACATTCCGTACAGACTGTGGCAATGAAGTGAATATCCCAATAAAATGAGTCCAATGAATTACTGTTTCCCAAGTGCATATGAAATTTACGTTTACACTATACCGTAGCCTACTAAGTGTGCGATGGCATTATGTCTAAAAAACAAGGTGCATACTTTAATTTGAAAAGACTTCATTGCTAAAGATGTTAACCATCATCTGAGCATTCAGCAAGCTGCAGTCACTAATCACAGATCACCATGACACATATAGTAACAAAAAAGTTTGAAATATTGCAAGAATTACCAAAATGTGACACAGAGGCATGAAGTGAACAAATGCCGTTGGAAAAATGGTGCTGATAGACTTGCTCCACACAGGGTTGCCACAAACCTGCACTTTGTTTAAAAAAAAACAAAAAAAAAAACAAAAAAAAAGACAGTATCTGCAAAGCGCAATAAAACAAGGTGTGCCTTGTATAAGGCCCACACTAGAGCCTTCCAGATGCCCTACTGTGTGGTCCATTTCCTAGGACTCACTCATGACACTACTCATTAACTTCCACTGAAAGTCCCCCTATAAACGGTCAGGGAAGCTGAAGTCATTCTCTTCTGCTCATCTCTTCCTGGAAAACTCCATCTATAATAATGACAATATTGTCCTTTCCTTACACACTCAGGTTTGTACTTACAATTGTAAAACAAAATTTTAATCTCAAATTTAGAAAGCTCCAGTATTTTCTAATAAGTCTGTTTGGAATTCATCTACACTCAGGGGAAAAGAACTTCGTTATCATAGTTTACTTAATGAAAAATTCATTGTTAATAAAGACACGGTTTATAGTCCTATAAGGTTTAACTGGAGAATTAATAAGGGGTTATGATTTTTAGAGCCTTGTAGGAAAGAGTAATCCCAAAGGCATTATGATTTCGTTGCTGTGTAGAACATTAACCAATTATATCTAAGTTGGCAATTTTGTTCAGACGTTCCTTTCCCTGTGGACTACATATATTCTTTAAATCCTCTCAAAACCAGCTCTTTGTGGCACTCTCTATAACAGTTAAATAAAACTTTGAAACATGCTCACTATTTGCATGAGAATTTTGTTGTAACACTACTCAATCAAAATCAAAAATATTGTTTAGGATGGGTATCTGTGTATATGTCCACTGTGTGTGTGCATTTGTGTCTATGTGTATATTTGTGTGTATATATATGTAAATCTTATTTTTAAAAATTTTTAATGTTTAATTTTTGAGAGAGAGAGAGAGAGAGCGTGAGTGGGGGAAGGGCAGAGACAGAGAGGGAGACACAGAATCTGAAACAGGCTCCAGGCTGTGAGCTGTCAGCACAGAGCCTGATATGGGGCTCGAACTCGAGAATGGCGAGATCATGACCAGGGCCGAAATCAGATGCTCAACCAACTGAAGCCATCCAAGGCGCCCTGTATGTAAAGTTTATTTTAAAAAGCAAGAGAAAGATTAACAGATCAGAACAGAGGCTACCTCTGGAAGAAGGAGGCAAACGTTTTGTGTCTTAATCTGATGGTAAATACAATGATCACAGCATTCATACTCTTTTATTTATTTTTTTTTTAATTTTTTTTTCAACGTTTATTTATTTTTGGGACAGAGAGAGACAGAGCATGAACGGGGGAGGGGCAGAGAGAGAGGGAGACACAGAATCGGAAACAGGCTCCAGGCTCCGAGCCATCAGCCCAGAGCCCGACGCGGGGCTCGAACTCACGGACCGCGAGATCGTGACCTGGCTGAAGTCGGACGCTTAACCGACTGCGCCACCCAGGCGCCCCTTTTCATACTCTTTTAAAAATATATGTACATATATACCACATGATATATATACGTATAAATCACATATATCATACATATACAAATATATACGTACATATGTATACATACTTTTTGTACACCTGGGATATATTTTGCAACAAAAGGAACTTATTTTATTTATTTATTTATTTATTTTGGAATGTTTATTTATTTTTGGAATGTTTATTTATTTTTGAGAGAGAGAGAGAGACAGAGCATGAGCGAGGGAGGGGCAGAGAGAGGGGAGACACAGAATCGGAAGCAGGCTCCAGGCTCCCAGCTGTCAGCACAGAGCCCGATGCGGGGCTCAAACTCACAAGCCGTGAGATCATGACCTGAGCCAAATCAGACGCTCAACCGACTGAGCCACCCAGGCGCCCCTAAAAGGAACTTATTTTAAAAGAGAACAAGAAATTGTTATGATTGGGTATTCAAGGGGTTACCATAGGATGGAATGTACATAAAATATGTCTGTTCACATTTTCTCTTCCTGAAGGCCTTCTCTATTCATTCCCGCTAAACCAATCAAATGAGTGAACATAACCTTAAAGTCAACACCACTAAGTGGAAACAAAGTTAAAAAATTCACCATTATTTAACCTGGTCCTCAAAATTTTCTTGATTCGGTCTCTAAATACAAAAGGACACACAGGTTCTAAGAAACGCATTTAAATCAAACAAATTTAGCTACTGCCTTTAAGTTATAAAATCTTTTTAAGTTATAAAAAATATTCCTGGTGAAAAGGGCACTAAAATTATACTAAAGTACAATCATCTGTTTCAATTATCTACCTGAAACTTATCCTACAATGGCAGAAGGATTTTCATGCAGCAAGGCTTTTAATGGCTAAAATCTAGACACAACCAAAATGTCCATCAGTACAGGACCAATAAAATATATTAGAGTACATGTGAACAATGCATACTATGCAGCATTTTAAAAATGAGGGCCAGCGGTGCCTGGATGGCTCAATAAATTAAGCATTGGACTCCTGACCGGCTCAGGTCAGGATCTCATGGTTTGTGAGTTTGAGCCCTGCATCAGGCTCTGCTCAGGATTCTCTCTCTGCCCCTTCCCCACTTGTGCTATGCGCACTCTCTCTCTAAAAATAAATAAAATTTTTAAAAAGAGCCAAGATTAAATTTTTTTTTTCTACAGCCTATATTACCATTATCACTTTAAAAGGAGCAAATAAGGATAAACTAATCAGACAGATTCTTTACCCTGGACTCCAGAAGTGAACTCAGAAAAGACCAGCCAGTCAAGGCTGCTGTAATCCTAGTGGACAGAGGATGGGGGTGGGGTGGGGAGGGGAGGGTGTGTCTCCGGAAGAGGAAAACTACATCCTCCTGCTGCTCTCATTAAACCTGCTTTTCCTGCAGCATTAACATTCAAGATAACTTTCGATTTTTATTTTAAGAATGAAGAGTCTTGCAACACTATTACCGGTAAGAAGGCTTAACGTTTGTTTTACGTTTGAAACCAAAGCCGATCTGAAACACGAGAAGACAAGAGACTAAAGACGATGGAAAGGAAAAGTGTGACCAGCCCGGGAGTAAGAGCCTTGGGAATTGTTAAGAAAGGGGATTTACGGCGCAGATAGATGAAGAGTTTGAAGGAAGAGGTGGGACACTCCGAGAAGAGAAATTAATGTCTTTGAGAGGCATAATGGTGACTACACATTTACTCCAATCGCAGGCTTGACTCCCGCCCCCACACACGCACAGGCTCACAAGGCACTGACAGCAGCAAAGGAACGAGCACAGTCGATCTTAACACTGCTTTGGCTTTTAAAAGGTCATATATTTACATTACAGATAAAGCACTTTCCAGCGATTAACTCGGAACCCAATTAATTGGTTAAAAACCAAAATGGTCTTCCCCAGCCAACTACCATTGCTACAGTGGCGATTCTCTGCTGCTACTTATCTAAAAGGTCGTTCAACACTTTATGATTAATTCTCAAAAGAACGCTGAGCCTCTAACATTTCCTCTTCCCACCTCTGTACCTGACTCTCCTAAGGTCAGAGTCGGGAAAGTCCACACAACACGGACCATATTCTCGGCAATGGTTCTGAGAACGCGAGAGGGACGACAAAAGTACCCGAGTCGCCCCCAGACTCCCGGAGCGAGCCGTCCACCGCCTCTCTCCCCTGCCCGTCGCCCTGGGAAGCCGAGAGGCTCGAGATGGGAATCTTCCAGACCTCCCCGACAAGCAATCGACGGCCAGGTAACGCGGCGGTGCGGCCCTCCCCGGTCGAGTGCGGGTCCCCGCGTGTCACCGCCGCGGTCGGCCCGAGGGGAGGCGGGCTGGGCCGGAGAGGTTGGCGGAGGCCCCCCGGTCCGCAGGCTGCCCGGGTGTTCCTCCGGCCCGTTCCACCGGGCGGCGCCGGGCGCAGGAGAGGCCGGGCTGGGCGCCGCCGCACCGCGCAGGCCGGGTTGGCCGGGGGCGCCTCCTCACGCGCGGACGGGGGGCACGAGCCCCCAGCGCGTCGCGAGACCGGCCGACCGCACTCACCTGGCTTCGCTGACCCCTACGCCGACCCCAAGCGCTCACGCACAGGAAGAGGCGGCTGTGCCCGGACCCGGCCGGCGTCCGCGGCTCCACCTCGGTCCCGGGGAGCCGGGAGCAGACGGCGGGCTCTAGGCTAGGGGCGCCGGCGGGGCGCGGCGCCGTGCGCACCGCAGCGACCAATCGGCACGCAGCAAGTGGCCGGTCGGGGGCGGGGCGGGGCTCGAGGGGCGGGGCAGAGGCGCCACTGGGCGGGGCGAGGGTACCAGGTCTCCACGACCCCCCGGAGCTGTCGGCTGACTCCACGCCTTAGGGTTCTCGGCCGCTTAAACCTGACTAGTCCTGCTGTGTTCCCGACGGCGGCTGGGGCCCGGCTCCCACCGCTGCGTTTCTGCTAGCCAACTTCAAGCGCAGCATCCGTGAGGTCATGCGCGAGGAGAGCCCAAGACCCAGAGGGCAGGTACTCTCTTTGCATGTAGGCCCAGCGGCGTTGGCCGCGCGAGCTGCCCAGAGTAGGGCACGTGCTCCAGAAAAGGGTTCCACGGAACTGAAGGTCTGTAGGGATGTCCGTTTCTAATCCCCACGCTCAGAAATGGAGGCCTAGAAAAGCGCAGTTACTCGTCTAAGGCCACCGACTAGTACTGTTACACGAGGTAACCAGCACCATACAGCTAGTCTTCTGATTCTGTCCTGATGCTTTTCCAGGAATCCGCCCAGACTCTTGGCTTCCTTGTAGTCAGGTCTCTTCCACCTGTCTCCTTTAAAGACACTACATGTTGTGGTGCTTGGCTGGCTCTGTCAGTAGAGCATGTGACTCTTAATCCTCAGGTTGTGAGTTCAAACCCTACCTTGGGTGTAGAGCTTACTTAGTCAATAGATAAAAATAAAGACATTGCATCTTGAATTTTTGGCATAACTTCAATAGCTTTTGAAAGTCCCCTCTAAATCTCCTACAGAATACAAAACGCCGTTTAGTTGTGTGACGAAAAGACACTGGATTTCCGGGAATTATCAATGGGAATCTTAAAACGTTTTTACTTGTGGTATGGATGAAATAAAGGTTTTGTGTCCCAACTTATCGTAGAATGCCATCCTCTTCTATTATGACTCCTATAGATCTTACACATGTAAGAGGAACAATCCCTGCTTTGTGGCATTTCCCCACTATCCCTCAGGTCCCATTTTCATAGACACTACTTTTCTCTTTTATATTTGTCACTTTGCAAGTAATACATTTATAGTTACATTATCCATCATTCTGATACATGTACTAGGGTCTAGTATTCAATAAATATTTGTTGAGGGACACCTGGGTGGCGCAGTCAGTTAGGCGTCCGACTTCGGTTCAGGTCATGATCTCACTGTTTGTGGGCTGGAGTCCCCCAACAGGGTTCTGTGCTGACAGCTCAGAGCCTGGAGCCTGCTTCAGATTCTGTGTCTCCCTCTCTCTCTGCCCCACCCCTGCTTGTGTTCTGTCTCTCAAAAATGAATAAACATTGAAAAAAAAATTTAATAAAAAACAATAAAAAATTCAAAAACAAATATTTGTTGAATAATTTACTTTTGAAATATATGCGCCCTTAAAACTAGTTAATTATATAACTTAACACAATTTATTAACATATGAGAGTTGCCTTTTTTTAAATAAGGTTTTAGATCTTGCTTCTTTTTTGATTATTGTATTAGGATTAGCTTTGGCTGCAAGTAGCATGGGAAAACACAAAATACCAGTGGCTTAAACAAAAATTGGTATTTCTCTCTTATGTTTAAGAAGTCCAGAGTTAGTCTAGTGCTAGTCTGACACATCATGAGACAGATCTAGACTCATTGTTCCAGCAGGAGAGTCACAAATGTATTTATGCTTTCAAATATATGGGCATTTGGAAGGTGTATGGTTCCATTCCCAGTATCACCTCATGGTCTAAGAGAGTTGCTGTAGCTCCAGCCATTATGCTTGCATTCCAACCAGCAGAAGAGAAGACAAAGAAGGGAACACCCCCTCTCTTTAGAAGCATTTCCCAAAGGCTGCATATACCATTTCTGCTTTCATCCTGCTGGCAAAAACTTAGTCACTTAGCTACGTGAAATGCAAAGGAAGACTGGAAAATGGGGTTTCAGTACTGAGGAAGAATGGATATTGGGGGACAGGTAGGAGTTTTTTCATAGTCTTAATGCTCACACTTTTTGAAGTATTAAGTATTTTAATATTTCCAGACAATTTTTAAATGCTTTTTTACAGAATATCTATTAGAAAATTTTTACCTCCATGTTTGAAGGAACATGTTACTGTTGACCTGCCCTTAGGATGTACATACCTTCACTTGCTTTTTCAGAAGTGAGTGGGGACTTAACACTAATGCAACTAGCTTCCCTCTCATTC